TAGCTAAAAGCTAATGTGTCAAAAGGATAGCTAAAAGCTAATGTGTCAAAAGGATAGCTAAAAGCTAATGTGTCAAAAGGATACCTAAAAGCTAATGTGTCAAAAGGATAGCTAAAAGCTAATGTGTCAAAAGGACAGCTAAAAGCTAATGTGTCAAAAGGATATCTAAAAGCTAAAGTGTCAAAAGGACAGCTAAAAGCAAATGTGTCAAAAGGATAACTAAAAGCAAATGCTTGATAAGAGCAAAAGTAACATTCACAAAATAAATTATTATTATAAGAAATATTTAAAAATTCAACCAAACTTTATTGTTTAGATTTATCATTGTCCTTTCTAAAMCCACTTTGAGACTAAATACCTTTATTGTGGAAGTTTTCCCTCTGCTGGAGTTTGGATCAGATTACAAACCACTTCAGAGCTTTTAGCCACACCTAAAGTCTGATCGGACTTCCTGTCAGTAAAACAACTGCTAATGATCAGATTTCAGCTTCACTTCATGTTTCAGGATTGATCTGAAGAGTCTGAGCTTCTTTCAAACTCAATTAAATGACCTGTTTTAAAATCTTTAAGGGAATTTGCTGCAAATGTTCATGTTTTATGTTCTTTTAACTAAGGGTTTGAAGGAACAAAACATAGACATGACTGGCTGTAAATGTGAAAGCGAACAAAAGAAACAAATTTGAAATGTAAAAATAAATAAACTTTCCATAAATAGACCCAAAACATATCAAACACAGATTATTTTAGCTGAGGTGGTAAATTATTCAGCTGATATTAGCTGCTGCTTCACTTGGTGTTGGAAACTGATCTGAGAGCAGAATCCTCTAAAGGAGGACCGATGTGTCCTGGTCCTGTTCAGATCACATCCATGTATGGAAGCTGGCAGAGGGACGTGAGGTCTGGATCGTGTCAGATGTCCAGACCAGCAGCAGGTGACTGCAGGCCTCGTGGATTCACTCAGCCGTGCACGAGTGGACGATGAAGGCTAACGTTTGCCAAAACGGTGTTAAAAATCCACACCAATGTGTTTCACTTCTTATTTCTGCCGAGCCGAGCGGCTTTCTCCTTCTCACGCTTCCTTCCTGTTTGTCTGTTCCACTTTCTGATGGCCGCCGTCGCCAGAACTGAATCAGCTTCACAGACGGGCTCAGCATTTACATTTCAAAAGAGGCAAGATGAAAACAAAAAAGACAAAAACGTATTTGACAATACCCCTCGCTTCCTTTGTTTCCTGCTGCAGCTCAGAGCAGGTTTTTAAAAATAGATCAAGAAGAACCAGATGGATTTTACTGAAACGCTCAGAAGATAACCGTTAGACGCTACGTCCGTTGTCTTCTGCTCCGTCTGGAGTCTGGATCAGGGAGGTCCAGGACTCCAAGGTGTCCTGGTCTCCTTCCAGTTGGACAGAAAACCTTCCTAAAGAGGCGTCGTTACCAGATCGTTGCTGCAATCTTTAGCATCAGTTTTTTCCACAGATCATAATAAACACAAAAAACAGCTAAACTCTGTCCGATTTATCGATCTCCAGCTAAAATTTGGTGAGGTAGTAGCTGAGGTTAATTCACCAAACAGATCCGAGTGCAAAGACGAAACTATCCTGCAAGTTTGAGAKGTTTTCTCTGATTTATTACAGCTGGTTTGTGATCTTGTTCTTTTGGTCTAAAGTTCGTGGCCATAGGTGAGGCTAGAAACCTAAACCGACAGCTCGGATCCTTCTTCACCACGACGGATCGGAGCAGCTTCCACAACACTACAGAAACCGATTCGTCTATCAACCCTTCACTGTATTCTTCCCTCATTCGTGAACTAAATGCTAAGGTCAAACCACCCCACCCCAATAGGAGAGAGGAAATCCACCCTTTTCTGACTGAGGACCATGGTGGACTCAGATTTGGTGGGTCTGATCCTCATCCGAGCTCTGAACACATCGGTGGCTGTGTCCAAATTCAGGGTCTGCATCCTCCGAAGGTCCAATTTGTCGGCCGCTTACTCCGGAGGCTGTCCAAATTCGAAGACTCCTCCGATGCGGACGACAAATGCGTCCTCCGTTTTCCCCGATTTGACACCGGTTCCAATGGATCCTACATGGCTCACCTAGACCAGGTAGGCCAGGTCCGTCAAAGGACCCATCCTATGAATTTGGACACAGCCAACATCTGCATATAGATGAACCGGACTCCGTCCTCGCCCTGCACCAAGAAATTCTGTCCATAAAAGCTATGAACAGAATCTGTGACCAGGACAACTCCCACCCTGAAGGGGCAATAATTATGTCAGATAAGTCTGGCCTTGACAACTTCTTCTAACATTTTCCTTATCTTCCTGTACTAACCTTATCGACTCAGAGCGGAACCAAAGTTCTTCAGTAACAGTTTCCGCACACCGTCCACAACAACATCAGCGGTTTTCTCCCCAGAGAAACAGTGTTTTGGCTGTAGGTTTGACCCTTTATCACCAACGGGGGAACCTAAACAGCCGTGGGACACGACACCCCTGTGTGAAACAAGAGTTCAAAGCTCGAAAACTTTGTCTTGACTTCCTGTGGGGAGCAAGTCTTATTTTGGAATCGAGATCCAGTGAGCCTGACCTCTTCGTTACGACTGACATGGAAAATAGCTGGCCAGAGGATCACTAGCGAGTTGGAAAATCTAAACATATTTTCTGTACCGACGGTTGAACTTCTTAAATACCTGGACAGGTGACCACATCACCTTCAAAGGCATTCCTGGCTTTGTACTAAGTGTCGCTAATCTGATGGACGTCGAGCGAGAGACGCTGCTCTTCTGGTTCTCCCATTACATTTAATAAAGATAAGATTATGTAGGGGTCACCCCGAACACGTCAGCTTTACCTGGTGATGTCTTCTTAAGACACCCGCTTGGTAGGAACTGTCTCGCCTCCGATCAGCCAGGGAACTGATTATCGGCTCGCTTACCGGTCATTGGCGATGTAGGTGTTTTTCAGGTAACTTTTCGTCTGATTCATTTTCCAATATGTAGGAGGGGAGCTTAAGGTGGTATTAAGCTACTCCTACAATTATAAGTTAGGAACTAACTAATATCTTACTTTCCTCCTTTCTCTTAAACCCTTACTTTGCCAACCTAAGTTATTTGCCTCAAATGTCTGGTATTCAACATTTAGCTGGATGTTTTCTATTTTAAGTGCTGAGTTGATGAACAATTAATTTCAGAAGCGATCTGTATGGTTATTGTTTCTTAAACTTTTTATTGGAAATTGATTACTCACAATTAAGTGTACTGGAGTGATTTTGTTTAATTATGTAAATAAATGGTTGCATTTATTGATGGATCGAATCGAAATTTGCCTACTAAAGTCACTCATTGTGTCGTTTCATTCACTTCTGCGTGAGGGTAATATTTACCGAAAATAAAAAGATCCTTGCTAAAATAATTTTCTTATAATCTTGTTATAAGA